GGCCTCCGGTTGCTATTGGTTACCACATCTTCATTGGTTTCATAGGTGGAATTCAGTACAATTGGCACAACGTTTCAGGTTTTATATTTTACTGAATTTTGCAGCAACAGTAAAAATTATTTCACAAATTATTCACAAAAAGCAGCTAAAAGTCAAAACATTCATTTTAGTACATTTCATCCTCAAGAACAATTACAATCAACAAACACCCCAAACAGCAAAGAAGGGGGAGGAGTGTACATACAGCTGGGTGTGGCAGCAAAGTAGGGGGAGGAGTGTACATACAGCTGGGTGTGGCAGCAAAGTAGGGGGAGGAGTGTACATACAGCTGGGTGTGGCAGCAAAGTAGGGGGAGGAGGAGTCTACATACAGCTAGGTGCGACAACAGGGAGGGGAGGAGAGTAAATGCAAATTAGGGGCGGAGGCCTTTCCAGTAGTGAAGTGTCTGACAATTGCTGATTCCTTGCAGGTGTGTTCATGGTGCTTTGCTCCTTCACCCCCCTGGCATGTTTGTACCACTTGGTATGGTCCATGTCATACATCCTCTTCCCGGAGGCCTTGTGGAATTTTAAGGTGTGATGGCGGCACTGTGACCTCCGTTGGAGTTGGTTTTGCAGTGAGGACGGTGCTGTGATACAAGCTGTATTTAGAGACCTCTCCCTGGTGCCGTATCATCATCATCCTCATCCTCCTCTTCTGGATGGAAACGAGGAGACGCTCCCCAATCAGAGTTTACTCATGACTACATCTCCGCACTGTATCTCCACATTGCCGACGTCCAATGTCACACTGGAGGAAGCCAATCTGGCCTCATGGCAAAGTATGGACTGACTTCCGGATTGTTCTCCAGCCGCCACATGGAGGAGCGCATTCTTGGAGCACCTCACATCACCAGCCGCCATATGGGGGAGCGCAGTCTTGGAGCACCTCACATCACCAGCCGCCATATGGGGGAGCGCAGTCCTGGAGCACCTCACATCGCCATCAGCACATTTTCTACGTGATTGTGAATATTTTCTGCTGTAAGTTTGTAAATAAGAGAGAGAAATAAAGTTCCTACGATGTGGTTCCCGGTGTGTCTCCGGCTGCTCCTTGTACCGCCTCCGCCCACGACGGCATCATATCATCATAGGACGGTCTGAGGTCTCATTGGCCAACCCATGATAGGTGGCCCGAGGTAGGTCACCTGTGCCGTCACCTTCCTGCAGAGTCAGTCTTCCCCCTCCAGTCCCCATGATAGTCCTCCAGCAGACCTCCCTCCAGGCTGCCGAATTGTCACCTCGCACTCCACCCAGAGCCGTTGTTCTGGTCCATTGAGGTGTTTGCCATCAGGACGGAATCCCGGCCACACGTAGGTATTCGGCCCAGTTTAGGGCGTCGGTTGCCTGGAGCGGAGTGCTTCCATTGGCCACGGTGGAGGCGTTCTGCAACTGTTTCAGCAGGTCGGTGAAGCTTGGCCTCCTTAACACCTCCCACTGCCAACAACCGGTCATGACATCATACCTGCGGGGGAACGGAAGACGTCAGCAAATTCCACCTTGTCAGGTGACACTGAGATCCCTTCATCTGGGTCAGTGCACAGAACACCCTCACCCTGTATACATCATACAGCACACAGCCAGACGTATGAGGAAAGGGGGAGGAGTGTACATACAGCTGGGTGTGGCAGCAAAGTAGGGGGAGGAGGAGTCTACATACAGCTAGGTGCGACAACAGGGAGGGGAGGAGAGTAAATGCAAATTAGGGGCGGAGGCCTTTCCAGTAGTGAAGTGTCTGACAATTGCTGATTCCTTGCAGGTGTGTTCATGGTGCTTTGCTCCTTCACCCCCCTGGCATGTTTGTACCACTTGGTATGGTCCATGTCATACATCCTCTTCCCGGAGGCCTTGTGGAATTTTAAGGTGTGATGGCGGCACTGTGACCTCCGTTGGAGTTGGTTTTGCAGTGAGGACGGTGCTGTGATACAAGCTGTATTTAGAGACCTCTCCCTGGTGCCGTATCATCATCATCCTCATCCTCCTCTTCTGGATGGAAACGAGGAGACGCTCCCCAATCAGAGTTTACTCATGACTACATCTCCGCACTGTATCTCCACATTGCCGACGTCCAATGTCACACTGGAGGAAGCCAATCTGGCCTCATGGCAAAGTATGGACTGACTTCCGGATTGTTCTCCAGCCGCCACATGGAGGAGCGCATTCTTGGAGCACCTCACATCACCAGCCGCCATATGGGGGAGCGCAGTCTTGGAGCACCTCACATCACCAGCCGCCATATGGGGGAGCGCAGTCCTGGAGCACCTCACATCGCCATCAGCACATTTTCTACGTGATTGTGAATATTTTCTGCTGTAAGTTTGTAAATAAGAGAGAGAAATAAAGTTCCTACGATGTGGTTCCCGGTGTGTCTCCGGCTGCTCCTTGTACCGCCTCCGCCCACGACGGCATCATATCATCATAGGACGGTCTGAGGTCTCATTGGCCAACCCATGATAGGTGGCCCGAGGTAGGTCACCTGTGCCGTCACCTTCCTGCAGAGTCAGTCTTCCCCCTCCAGTCCCCATGATAGTCCTCCAGCAGACCTCCCTCCAGGCTGCCGAATTGTCACCTCGCACTCCACCCAGAGCCGTTGTTCTGGTCCATTGAGGTGTTTGCCATCAGGACGGAATCCCGGCCACACGTAGGTATTCGGCCCAGTTTAGGGCGTCGGTTGCCTGGAGCGGAGTGCTTCCATTGGCCACGGTGGAGGCGTTCTGCAACTGTTTCAGCAGGTCGGTGAAGCTTGGCCTCCTTAACACCTCCCACTGCCAACAACCGGTCATGACATCATACCTGCGGGGGAACGGAAGACGTCAGCAAATTCCACCTTGTCAGGTGACACTGAGATCCCTTCATCTGGGTCAGTGCACAGAACACCCTCACCCTGTATACATCATACAGCACACAGCCAGACGTATGAGGACCCCCCTCCCAATCATTGAGGTCAGGTGTCTCCAGTGAAGGTTCTGGTGATCCTCCATCATACAAAGACATTGTAGACAATGGGGCTCTTCCAGCCTTGTGGTCACAGTTTGGTGAAGACCCTTTTCTGTCCCACCCATGACTGTCCCCCTGTGTACAAAGCCAGCTCCATACAGACATGGGGTGACCAGTGTGGTGGAGGAACTCCAGTGTCCTGTACAGAGCCCCGACCTCATCCCTACTGACCACTGACTGTGAGCCCGATCTTCTCCTCCACCATCAGCACCTGACCTCAACCCTACTGAACACCTTTGGGATGAATGGTAGCCCGGTCTTCTCCTCTGGGGGTTCCATGAGTAGGGAGCAGTGGAAGATTGCCATCTTCTCGTGGAACCTTGCGGATCCTCTGGAGGAGCCCCAGGACCAGAAGATCCGGCTCGCAGTCAGCGTTCCAATGAATCCTAAAGGTGACCTACTGAACGTCTGAGATGAATTGGAACGCTGATGGCGAGCCGGATCTTCTCATCCAACATCAGGACCTGAGCTCACAGATGGGACAAATTCATATTTATGGCCATGGGGGAAGGGGCACCTCCATATTAATGGCCACGGGGGAAGGGGCACCTCCATATTAATGGCCACGGGGGAAGGGGCACCTCCATATTAATGGCCACGGGGGAAGGGGCACCTCCATATTAATGGCCATGGGGGAAGGGGCACCTCCATATTAATGGCCATGGGGGAAGGGGCACCTCCATATTAATGGCCATGGGGGAAGGGGCACCTCCATATTAATGGCCATGGGGGAAGGGGCACCTCCATATTAATGGCCATGGGGGAAGGGGCACCTCCATATTAATGGCCATGGGGGAAGGGGCACCTCCATATTAATGGCCATGGGGGAAGGGGCACCTCCATATTAATGGCCATGGGGGAAGGGGCACCTCCATATTAATGGCCATGGGGGAAGGGGCACCTCCATATTAATGGCCATGGGGGAAGGGGCACCTCCATATTAATGGCCATGGGGGAAGGGGCACCTCCATATTAATGGCCATGGGGGAAGGGGCACCTCCATATTAATGGCCATGGGGGAAGGGGCACCTCCATATTAATGGCCATGGGGGAAGGGGCACCTCCATATTAATGGCCATGGGGGAAGGGGCACCTCCATATTAATGGCCATGGGGGAAGGGGCACCTCCATATTAATGGCCATGGGGGAAGGGGCACCTCCATATTAATGGCCATGGGGGAAGGGGCACCTCCATATTAATGGCCATGGGGGAAGGGGCACCTCCATATTAATGGCCATGGGGGAAGGGGCACCTCCATATTAATGGCCATGGGGGAAGGGGCACCTCCATATTAATGGCCATGGGGGAAGGGGCACCTCCATATTAATGGCCATGGGGGAAGGGGCACCTCCATATTAATGGCCATGGGGGAAGGGGCACCTCCATATTAATGGCCATGGGGGAAGGGGCACCTCCATATTAATGGCCATGGGGGAAGGGGCACCTCCATATTAATGGCCATGGGGGAAGGGGCACCTCCATATTAATGGCCATGGGGGAAGGGGCACCTCCATATTAATGGCCATGGGGGAAGGGGCACCTCCATATTAATGGCCATGGGGGAAGGGGCACCTCCATATTAATGGCCATGGGGGAAGGGGCACCTCCATATTAATGGCCATGGGGGAAGGGGCACCTCCATATTAATGGCCATGGGGGAAGGGGCACCTCCATATTAATGGCCATGGGGGAAGGGGCACCTCCATATTAATGGCCATGGGGGAAGGGGCACCTCCATATTAATGGCCATGGGGGAAGGGGCACCTCCATATTAATGGCCATGGGGGAAGGGGCACCTCCATATTAATGGCCATGGGGGAAGGGGCACCTCCATATTAATGGCCATGGGGGAAGGGGCACCTCCATATTAATGGCCATGGGGGAAGGGGCACCTCCATATTAATGGCCATGGGGGAAGGGGCACCTCCATATTAATGGCCATGGGGGAAGGGGCACCTCCATATTAATGGCCATGGGGGAAGGGGCACCTCCATATTAATGGCCATGGGGGAAGGGGCACCTCCATATTAATGGCCATGGGGGAAGGGGCACCTCCATATTAATGGTCATGGGGGAAGGGGCACCTCCATATTAATGGCCATGGGGGAAGGGGCACCGGGGGTCAGCTTTTATTAATGTGGTTTAAACATTTCTATGAAAAGAAAATAACTGATTTCAGTGTCCGCTGGGGTCCCCCTTACTTTGTTCATCTAAGACTCCCCCCCCTCCCTGCCCACAGGGTGACAACGCTGCTGTGTGATTTCACTGCAGAATGAACAGCGTTGTCACCCAGTCACAGGAAGTAGAAAAATAACTGACCTATCGGCAGGATCAAAGAGTAATAAAACTCTGTTATGGGGGGACCACGAAAACTGCCGTGTTAATCCCGCTGACAGACGCCATCATAGAGGCCAATTATTATTTTGTCCAGAGTTCCACTTTAGGTTTTACGAGGCGGCGGACCAGTGACCAGGCTCAGGAAGTCTTCCTGTGATTTCCGCTCTGAACCTGAAAGGTGTCACCCCCCCCTCCACCCCTATGAAGAGCAGCATTGGGTTTACCTCTGATCCTCTGCTGCCCTCCAGTGGTCACCGTGTCA